GGGGCGGACGAATTACAAATCACCCGCTTAACTGATTAATATGCATGAGTCTAAATAAGCGGCGACAATTGTGCAATTGTCATTTTAACTGTATCACTCCTGTATAAATGAAATCGACATCCCCACAATATTTTAGACCCGACCTTGTGGACGCTTGCTTTCTCCATGCTGTTGCAGTCAGACTTGTCATTATATGTGTGTCGGAGTAACGAGCGGCTTGTAGAAGTAATTTCCGAATGTAGCTCATAGACACAGTAACTTTTCCACCATTGTGGCCATTCGGGCCTAAGTAACTAAAATTACTGGGTTTTATTTGACATCTAACACACTTTTGTAGGGAAAGCGAGACTCAGCAGTTTTTTATATTTTATATTTTCTATGGGAATTGTAGTTTACACTCAAAGTTTGAGAATTTTTGCGATTATGTTTTGAGTTGAAAATACACAAAAGCCGTATTCGTCGCGGCGGCAGTTTCGTTACTTCAGCCGCGTATGGACGTTTACGATCGCATCGCTATCTGCTATCTGCTATCTGCTATCGCCCGCCGGATAAAAAGCGCCACTCGCTTTAATTTATTGCCCAATAAACACCCTTCCCCGGGTTCCCGCCCTGCACCCCCGCCTGCCACGCAGTCAGTCTTGAGCCCTATCCCGCGCACACATTACATACGCACTACCTACGTAACAGAACATTCACTATCTTTCATTTGAAATATTATTTAATTGAAGTAAGTCAGCACAGTAAACATGCATTATGCGCGCATGCATTAAGTAGAATATTAACCTTTACCGCATTCAAAACAAAGATAAGCTTTAAGTACACTATTATTTTATTTATTTAACTGCGCGAAACTATTGTTTTTTATATTAAATTTTATTTTTTTAATAAAAGGACTTGCGTCACACTTTAGACTATATATTTTAACGCCATTACTTAACATCTTAACATTAACTTAGAAGGCAAATATTTTGTATAAAAACCCTAAGTGGGAAAGAGACCATAAGTTGCTGCCAACATCAAGGAAGCAAGGTTGTCATCATGTCATGTCATTTTGACATTTGTAATTGATAATTTGACATATGAATAAAATCGTACGGGAACAGCTAGTTAATGATAAATAGTTAACCTCTGTAAATCTTTGCAATCCCATTAGATCGTGTTGCGCAGTTTTCGATTGTTGAACCGCTCGTCGTTGCGACATATTCATTTACCTAGTCAAGTAAGTCTTTTGAAATAATTCAAATTTAAGAATTGTTAAAGAATATTGAATAACGAAATACAAGTTCTTGTAGAAGCCAACTTTACCAAACAAAAACCCTTGCAGCCGATCGATGGCCGGACCCTTGCGGAATATGTGTGTGCCCGCCCGGCCCCCGCCCGGCCCCCGCCTGGCCTCCGCGTGCGACTCGTGTGTGACGACGCTTTTATGTTGGTCCTCTTAATTAGCCCTGATTTGACGGCCCATCTAACTTAACGGTGCCGTAAATCTATGCAACCCCTAATAAAGAATTTGTCAAAGAAATGGGGTCGCTAAGAGTATGTTATGTTTGAGAAAGACATCAATCTTATCGTATCGTTGTGTTGACCCTGTACAAAGTTTAAGTAGGACCTATAATACTAACATAAATTTATTTATTGTTATAGTTCCACTGAACACTGAACGTCGTATTTAAGTCTCGTCCTTTAAAAAAAATCCTGCGGTCTTTAATTCAGAAACTAAATATAACTAAAACCACCAGAACAGCCGGGAAACATAAAACAAGAAGAGAGCACATGACAGTAAAAGTTATATCCGCGAGAAGGCAGAAAACGTCACCATGAAATTGTAACTGCCAGTAGTTTGCAAACAAACACGTCGTGTTCGCTGGTCGATGGGATAGATGTCAATCGTTAGTTAGTGAGTATGAGAGGTTATGATGGGAAGTACGTTGCGGCGACTCCACGGATAGCGGATGGCGGATGGTCGATGGCGGGGGCAATAAAACTGACCGTGACTGTCTCGTGTCTGATCGCATACCGACCGTGTTATTCACAGATCTGCCTCACGATAGCTATGCATACTAGCTTTCTTTTACAGTTACACTCATTTTAGTTTAATTGTCTAATAATGTAGTACGTGAGCACAAAGCGATAAAGAAAATAACATTTAACACAGCTTGGCTCGGGCGGCGCCGGCGGAGGGGCTTGTCAAGCGATGTCCGCTGGACCTAGCTCATTCTTATGCAATGTACATGTAGTAAAGTTATTTGGATTGTTCTTTCTCTTAGTTTTAGTACATTCCTACTGAACTTACGTAATTTTGTACATATCGAAATTTATTCATTGTTACAAAATTACACACAGCATTGTAATTCGCTAAGTAATAATTGTCATACTCCACAATCAAAATTTACAAGATTTAGTGGAAACGCAGCAAGATACACATACAATTTCAATCATCTTTAAGTTAACAGATGCCGCGTGTCGGATTTTAATAAAGTCCCTGCGGAAATCGCGCATAAAATATATAATCATTTGCGATGTGCCTCCCGATAGCGCCGCCGCCACCGCCGCCGCCGCCGCCGCCGCAGGCGCCGCCGGCACGTCAACGGGCAGCCTATAGAGGAGCGATACTTCATTGAGTATCTGCCGCCTGCTGCAGCTCAGACACCAAATTTTCGGATTAAAGAACATTTGCAAACCTTCGTTTTAATAAAGGTTGTAATAAATTAAACTGCATTTGATAAAATTATGATTGACCACATCAAATTACACAATTTTAAATACCTACCTAACGTAAAAAACTTTACTTTTAAAACTGAAGAGTATATTTTTTTCGCCGAGTTTCGTCATCGGACGACACGACAGACCGCCAGGTACCATCCTCACCATCTCGATGGCTGGCATTCCACAACCGTGCGGTTTTC